CCTCGCTTGCGCGCTTTGCCTCCCCCAGTCTAGCCTCAGCTGCTATCCTATCCAGTTCAACCCGTTCGAGTTCCTTCGCCTTCCCCTGCAATGCGCCTTTCTTTTGCCCCAGCGCCTGAGTCCGGACATGGAGCTCCTTTGTCAGCTGCTGGAGCGTGTCCACCTGCTCATCCAGAATCTGCGTCGCGCGAGAAATTGTCATGCGCGACTCGGGGGGATGCTGTGCTCGCAGACGGGCGAGCTCGAGCTCCATATCTCGGATCTCTTTCACTAATTGGGTCGATTCGGCTGCGTCAGCGAGCGTTTGAGTGTGAAGAGCGTCGATTTGTGGCGCAAGCGTGCGGACTTGTGCGCTGCTGGATTCGAGCGCTAGCTTGGATGTCTTCAGAGATGTCTTTAGTGCAGTGTTGGTTTGTTCTGACTACTGTTAGCATACACTCATATAGAGGGATGGAAGCAAGCGCACCCAGTTGCATATTATGTGCCGCTCTTAAGCTAGGCGGATCCTCTCTCAGGATATACCTCAAGAATCTCTCCTTGCTCTCCTGCTCCAAGTACTTGAACTTGATCTTCGTAAAGTAGTCTTTGTGGTCCGCGACGTCCCTCTCAAGCAAGCTGGGATTGAGAGGTTGGAGAGAGATGAGCGAGTCGGAGAGTGTGGGGAGGTCGGAGGTTGCGCGGTCGAGATAGGAGGCATGGAGCGCTGTGAGATGGAGAGGGTGGGTGGTGTATGATTGTGCTAGTCTGTGAATTCTATTAGTACGATGCGCGCATATAGACTGGTGTGCTCACTTGCGGACAGCGTTGAGGTCCATATCGCTCATCGTGCTCGTTCCTGCCATCGCTGTCGCCATTCTTCGCGTCGTTGATCGTTGTGCGATGTCGCGTCGGTCGTCGTCCTCGAGAAGGGCGACGTCGGCGTCACACGCCCCGTTATCACTTATCATGTCACGAAAACCGAGTCGCATCCTCCATCCTTGAAGTTGTTTTAATCGAGAGAATGGGTCGTATCAACCCCCATTCATTCACACCATCATGGCTGTCGTCCGCACGCCAACGTTGAAAGGAGGAAAGTATGTTTTCGAGTTCAACATAGAAAATGTTGGGCCTTTTGAGTACATCGGCACGTACCTCAGAAATCCCAACACATTACAACAGAACTCAAACATACTGGCTAGACTGGGAATTGAACCCAGTGCATCCTGATTCTTACTCAGGTGCACTACCACTGCACTATCTGGCCATTACTAAGAGCAAGAGTTATGCAAGTCCATCATATTAGTAGTTCAGGCTCTCAGAGATACACCACCCCATGGTAAGGTTCACTAGATGCTTGATCGGTATTTGTATCTGAGCACAGCGCAGGAGAATATTCATGGGAAATCGCATGCCCACCAGGAGTTGACCGAGATCGACCGAAAATTCATGTTCACGTGAAGCGCATGATGTTCATTATTACCCTCCCCACCCTGCCACCGCCCGATACAACGAGCATTACACAAGGTGCAAATAGTATGCTGACTCATACCCGTGTCATATTAACGTTCGAACAGATATGATCCTACTACACAAACATCTCCCAGAAGCTGGGCGATTTTTCTGGAGAGGCACTTCTAATTCTCGTGCATTGTTGTAGTTTGTCTTAAGGTACAAGATAGCTTTGATATACAGTATCTGACCGGCAAGAGATATTACAGCTCTCTGCGACTCAATCAGCACACAATCCAGAAATGGCTGAGGGAACAGACTCACATGTCCCAACCCAAAAGCAAACCGTCCTCATTCCCGCAACTGCACGCGTCTCCTGCCTCGCATACGCGTAATTATACCCAATCCTCAGTACCGCACTACCCAGCGCTCAGCACCAGCTAATCATAAAGGTTAAGCACTCACTATTCCAAAGCGTAAATGTTCATCACCCTTCCTCTCAGATAATTCGGACGATCAGCTGCCTGTGCCTGAATGGGCCCTTAGTTGCATATATGCATAGCCGGGCGTAAGCAAGACCAGAAGGAGAGTTCCAGCTTTCGTTCATGTCCGCTGGATCAGAGATCAAAACGCCGAGTGACATTAGTATACTATAACCCGAGGGTACAAACCAAAACTGCCCCCACAACAATCTCGAACGACTATTGTTCTCCCTCTTTCTCCTTCTTCTCTTTCTTCTTCTTCTTCGGCGTCTCCCCACTCGCTTCCACAGAAACCATGCTCACGTCCCCATTCGCCTCCTCGTGCTTCTTCTTCTTCTTCTTTTTCTTCTCCGGCTCCTCAGCTTCTTCCGTCGCAACAGGCTCCTCATCCCCATCCCGCTTCCGCTTCTTCTCCTTCCCCGCTTCCGGTACCGGAGGCTCAGTAGAGATCGTGCCAGCAGGTGCAGGGACAACATCCCCCTCAGGCCGAGTGAAGTCCTTATACTCCTCCACCCATTTCTTCGGCGTCTTCCCCTCGATATTCCTACCATGCTTATCCAGCAGTCCGTCCTTCACCATCTTCTTCTTCTCAACCGCCTTCGGGCCCAGGCCCCATCGTCGCGGGTACAGGTCGCGCTCCATGATACACCGCTTCACTTTGGCGACGACCCCGTGGTCGCATGTCGCTAGTTCGACGGTAGACATGAGGGCTATACCCAGTGCGATCGCTTCCCCTTTAGTGGTCATGAGCACCACTTCTTCGTGTACCTCGATATCGGCTTCTGCAATACAGGTCAGTCAGGTGCACAGGTGGAAAACGGACGCACGACTTACCATACCGCAGCAGACCAGGGATCATGAGTTTTGCACCGTAGCACACAGCCGTCACCGCACTGTCCTTTACAACGATCCGCTTGTATCCGGTAAGCAAGCATTCCAGCGGTCGGATAACTCGTCGTAAATACGACTCTGCCATCCAATTAGCAACTTCCCGTGCATTGCATTTGGAGAGGACTAACCGTCTCGCGTGTTATCATACACCCACTGCGCGTCCAGCACGTCGTGCATAGTGACCATCTCGTCGTTCTCGCTCAACGCTCCACTCCTCACTCGTCTCAGCTCCTCCATATGTCCTCCAACGCCCAACAACAACCCCAGATGCACACACAGCGTCCGAATATACGTCCCCGCCTCGCAGCTGACCCAGAAGACACCCAAATTCCGCTGGTTGTCAAATTCCAGCAAGCGGGACTCGTGGATCGTCCGCACCCGCAGTTGTCGTTTCACAGCGGAGATAAGCGGTGGGCGCTGGAAGAGCGCACCTGTGAGCGTTTCCAGTGCTCGGGGAAGCGTTTTCTCCGACGAGAGCGCAGAGTGTAGCCGGAGCACGCAGACGTACTCCTTCCCCGCGCCTTGTTGGGACTTGACTAACCGCGTAGCGCGGTCGATGCAGACGATCAGGCATCCCGTGACTTTGGGGTCAAGTGTGCCTGAGTGACCTGTCTTCTCTACTCGTAGGATCCTCCGCAGCCAGGCGACAACTTCGTGCGAGGAGGGGTTTGACGGTTTGTCCAGGTTGATGACCCCTGATTTTATGTAGGACGTCAGGTCGCGCTTCAGCGGGCTGGAGCCGGAAGGGATGGGGGTGAAGTGTGCAGAGCGCACGAGGAGCTTGTCGTAGTTCTTTAGCAGTAGGGGCCATTGGGATGTGTCCAGTGTCGGAAGCACTGGCTCGGGCTTGACGGTGAAGTCACCCTGGTGCTGTGCTGTAGCGATGTCGCCTTTTGAGAGGTCGTCGACGGCCATGATGTCGACGAGCAAGAGGAAGATAGCAAGAAAGAGATATATGCGCGTTAATCAAAGTATTGAGCGCCCTTTGCTTGTTCTGAGAGTGGCTTAACACTTTGCACAAATTCACCGCGCCAAACTTTTGTTTCCGTGCGCTTCTCTACTTCCGCTCATAGCCACTAACGGTGCCATTTGGTGAGACGGCCCTAAACAATCATGTACTGTACAGGACCAGATCCCTTTCTAGGCGTGGGACCCTTGCAGACATACACTCACTCGTGGTCGTCGTCGTCGTCCGTCCTCACCAACCCCTCGACAACCCCGCTTCTTACTAACAAAAATGGTACGCCCGCTTTGCTGAGTTCCCTTCTCAGTAGGCTGAGGCCCCACCCTCCCTCTCTAGGCCAAAGCCGCCAAACCCGTCGTCTCCAAGCACAAGTTCGTCATCGACTACTCCAAGCCTGCGGGCGATGGTGTCTTCGACGGTGGGCTGTACGAGAAGTTCCTCCGCGATAGGATAAAGGTCGAGGGCAAGCCTGGTCAGCTCGGGGAGAGCATCAAGATCTCCAAAGAGGGTGAGTGAACGTCTTGCTGCATACGACGCTGCTGATCCTCACACGCTCCAGGCACCAACAAGCTCGCCGTCCAGGCTAGCATCCCATTCTCCAAGCGCTACCTCAAGTACCTCACGAAGAAGTTCCTCAAGAAGAACCAGCTGCGTGACTGGATCCGGTGCGTTCCCCATTATCCCCGTTGTTGACTCGTCCTGACGCATACTCAGTGTCGTCGCAACCGAGAAGGACAGGTACGAGCTCCGCTTCTACAACATCGCGGAGGATGCAGAGGAGGAAGAGTAGACGTTTCCCCGTTCTTCTTTTCCTGGTGCATGAGTGTGTGTGGATGTCCTTTGCTTTAGGTATCGTCCCGACGACCCGACCCGATGTATCCTAGATCTAATGATCATGAGTTAATGCATCGGCGTCGCCTCCGGCTATGTGTTCAGTCTGCCTTTGTTGATCTTGCTATATGTGCTTGTGCCTCTGCACGTAAGAATATGCACGTACTTCTCTCTCTTTACAATTGATGCAGCGCATGTCCCCCCTTCCCGCATGTGGGGTGAAGCACAACAAGTACGTCCTCTTCCTTCGGTATTTGCGTCATCTCACCAATTCCACGTTAGTCTCAAACCCAGGGAAATGGAGTCCGCTGCACGCAATGCAGGAGTCTCTGAACCCGTACTGGCCAAGTACCGCCATCTGAGCGCATCACACACGAACACCCTCGAGAGCTTTCCGATCCTCGTCACCGCGTTGGTATGCGGGAACTTTGCAGGACTGAGGGGAAGGGTGATGAACATTTACGCTTTGGGATAGTGAGTGCAAGTGCCTCTCCAGAAAAATCGCCCAGCTTCTGGGAGATGTTTGTGTAGTAGGATCATATCTGTTCGAACGTTAATATGACACGGGTATGAGTCAGCATACTATTTGCACCTTGTGTAATGCTCGTTGTATCGGGCGGTGGCAGGGTGGGGAGGGTAATAATTAACATCATGCGCTTCGCGTCGATATGAACTTTTGGTCGATTTTGGTCAACTCCTGGTGGGCGTTCAATTTCCCATAAATATTGTCCTGCGCCGTTATCAGATACAAATACCTATTGAGCATGTGGTGGACCTTACCGTGGGGTGGTGTATGTTCCAGTGCCTGAACTACTAGTATATTTGATTTTCTGAGATACGTGCCCTCGTACTGAAAGGGGCCGACAGTTTCAATCTTGAGCTCACAGACATATGTATCTCCTTTCAACGTTGGAGTGTGGACAATAGGCATGATGTGAATGAATGGGGGTTAATATGACCCATTCTCTCGATTTAAACAATTTGTATCTCGGTCCAGTCTGCTCAGAACAGTCACAACAATTCACACGAAAAGTCTTCTTTTCATGTGAATTCTATTAAGGGTTTGTACTGGTCACAAAGGGCTCAAGCAAGCCCAATTATTATTATAATCACCATTGAGGAATGTACCATATATCTCATGGAACCTGCCAGCACTTGCAGGGCTTCTCAGGCCCATATTCTGAGTACTCACAAAAAGTTGATGACTGGATCAACTTTTTGCCATAAATGGAGATAGATGGGCAAAAGATACAGATCTGCATCCATCCTTCTGCAAGGGCACCTTCCTTCCTTGTTGTGCCAGCAATGAGGTTGCATTTCCCAAGGACCTGCTCAGTTCAACTCTTCAGTGCCAGAGCCTTCTTCAGCTAGAAATCCTCTGTTCTGATTGAACAAAGTATTTCTATCTGAATACTAATCAGGTGAGATGACCAGTGGTTGCCAGCAGTGCATGAATTTGGACAGAGTTACAACGGTGTTACCAAATAATAACTAAACGCATCCATTAGCGTGCGCCACGCCGCCTCTCCCCCGGCTACTCTTCCTCGTTCAGGGGGATCCCGCTGTCCTGAGCGGATAAGTGTGCCACATTCTGGAGGTTCTCAATCTGGCCAAAGGGAATACGCTTTGATGGCACTATCTTGCCAAACTCCGCCAGGTTCCCCGCGGGCCCCGCCGTTTCCGTTTCCCCATCACATTCCGATGAAGCCGTTGGGAACGCAGCACCATTGTTCGCCTTGCGCTTCTTTTCAAATGTGAGTGCTCCCCGTGCATAGTCTAGGGTCATGGTAATCAGCGAACCAACGTGCTCTAGTTCCCTCGGCGGTGACATGTTTTCGGACTCCTCGTCCGCATCATATGCTCCTGGCGTTTTGGGGAATTTCGTAGGGCGCATCCGCTTGTTCCTCTTTGGGGGTACGTAAAAGACGTCCCCAGAGGGAGCTTTGTTGATGTCGGGCCGGGCGGATCGGCCGCGCTTGAAGTACTGAGGCGTTTTGCCTTGTTCGATCGCACACCGCACTTCTTCAATCCTGTCGTAGTCAAACTGAATTAAATGCAATAAACGGTTCAAGAACAGTTTGCGCACCGAACTTGCAGTTTCTTGTTACTGGGAACGTATGTCGCTGCCCGCATATACGTTTCAAGTGCCTTGCCCAGATCACCTCTACACAAAGACATAAGCTCCCGAAACAATGAGCTTTTGTTTGCCCTTGTACGTACCGGTCATGAGCAACACGCGCCATCGCGACCAGCGCCTGTGCGACCTTCTTGTTTTCCGCAGGTGGGAGAATCTGGGAGATGTCCTGTGCGTCTTCCCGAACACTCGCAGCACTGGGCAAGGTTGCGTCCACAGCGCTCTCAAAATCCGCGTTCACAACACTGGCTAGCTTCGGTCCCACAGCACTAACCGGATCCGTGGGAGCGAGGCTGTTCAACTCGGTGTTTGCAGCACTCGCCAGGATCGTCTTCGCAGCACTGCATCGCCAAATCCATCAGCCCGAAGTCCCCCTGATGTGAACCCAACCCAAACTGACCTTTCCTCTAGTTCCCGAACTCTCTCACGCAAAGCCTCTGCTTCTTTAACCTTCTCCTCCCACTCCTGTCTCTCTCTCTCTCTCTTCTCTTCCTGCACAGCCCGTTCGTGGGCTAAAGCTGCCATACGGTCTTCGACCTGCCGGGCGACTTCACGTTCCACAGCTTCCGCAATCTGCCGCTGGATATCTTCTTCCGAGATGGATGGCACAGGGGGGTCAGGCTCTCTTTCGGTTTCAATTTCAGATTCGTTTTCGAGCTCGGGTTGGGGTTCGGGCTCATAGATCGAAGACAACGTAGGCGCACGGACGATAGGGTGGGAAGCAGAGCCAGAAATGGTGGATAACCGCCGCATATGAGCACCAGGCAATGATGCCGATCCCGAAATGCCGGACACCCTTCGACCACCAGCCGTCGGGCGACCCACTGGCACAGGTGGCGGAGGCATAGACGTACTCGATGTACGTCGATGGCGATCGGCACGTGCGGCCGGGGTAGGGGGGACAGGGAGCATAGATGTACGCGGCCTAGGAGGCTGGGGGCGGCTCACGGGCTCGGGGGGTACGTGCCCGAGGGAAGAGCGTGGGCGAGGAAGATCAGAGTAGCGGCGCTCTGTTTCTCGTTAGCTCGGATAGGTAAGCATAGGATGACAAGTGCGTACGGTGTCCGGGTCTCGGCAGCTGAGTGGGAGCCTTCGTGATTGGAGCCCTGACGGGTCTGTTCTCGACCTCCATCGTCCGATTCGCAAAGTTCAGCGTGTTGAGTGTGTCCTGCCTGAACTTGCCTCCGGGCGCAATGTTGCATATCAAGAGACTCATGCCGTTCCCTCCCAGGAAGGGCTGAAGGATCCGGGTGAGTTTGCAGTCCCTGTACGGGACACGTGTGAGGTTGCGGTTTAGCGCGTCGACAACTTGGCCGAGGACGGAAAGGGAACGGTTGATGGCGCTGGATTCGGCCATCCGGGAGGGATCGTTTCCCGTGAGTTTGTTGTTCTCTGAACCGGCGAGATCGATCAGATTGATCTTGCCCTCAGTCACTGTTCGTGTAATTAGACGCGATCTCGGCTTGTTAATTGAATGAAACGCACCAGTCCCATCCACGCGGGAGACTCGGACACGGATGGCTAGGATAGCGTGTGAGCGGGAGGATGCGCGATTGAGTAGCGTTGCGCCCGTCGAGCGGTTCTTGCATGCGACAGCAAACATCTGGTCGAAAGCATGCGGGCTGGCTACCATCGTCTAGTCCTATCAGTATCACAATCATACACGGGAGAAAGAGCGCACTTCAGTCAGGTTCGCGACAAATATCTGTCCACCCGCTTCTCGCACCGGCAACTTGACCCCCTCCTGCCTATCAACAAACAAGTCATACACTTCGTCCTTGTAGATCTCCATGTAGCTCACGGCCACCTGCACGCCGTTCCGCTGCTCCCCAAAGCTGGAGTGGAAAAAATATTGTACAACACGCGGGATGATCCCTGGTTCGGAGGGGCTGCCTTGCATCGTGTGGGTCTTGCCGGAAGATGTGACGCCGTAGCAGAATATACACGCTGTCTGTATACCGATAAAATTGCGAACAACAGGAGTAGAGAAGAGACTCACGTAGCCTTCGAGTACATGTTCGAGAATCGGACGTACGTCCCGGGTAAAGATGGAGTCTTGGTTGCTCGTCTGATCCCAGCAGCTCTTGAAGCTATAGCGGCGCGTCAGCAGTGCATCGCCGAGTCTTTTTATGCAGAGATACCTGAACTTGAACCGCTCCCTCATATCCCTCGGGTTGCTCACGCTCACGAACCCCTGCTCTTCTTTGTCATGCCCGTTAACAAGAATGATATCGTCCTGTTCTTCGTGTGCTAGAAAGGGCCTGCATCGGATAGCGATGTTGACCTTTGCCGCCATGTCGTGGGTATATTGCCGGTTGTCGTTTGTTGGTTTTCGAATGAATGTCGGTATGTTCAATTGTGCATAAAGGGAAACAATCACCGCGTTTTGCGCCTGCCTTTCTTGTGTTAATAAAGGAGGTTTAAACCAACCTTTCTTGACTTTTTCAAGCCGAGAAGCACGATTTGAAACCTGTGATCGGCTTACCGGGCGCAGAAAGGTGCTTCTTCACCTGTTTTGACCCAATAAATACCGGGCCAAAAGCGGTGAATGTTGGTGGTGGTGTAGAAGAAAGAGTGTTGAAAGGGAGCCTTGAACGCACACGTGATGAAGAGGGTAGTTGACGCGACTGGGCTTCTGTCACGTGACCAGTCATAACGGGGCGCGTGACGCGACGTCGCCCTTCTCGAGGACGACGACCGACGCGACATCGCACAACGATCAACGACGCGAAGAATGGCGACAGCGATGGCAGGAACGAGCACGATGAGCGATATGGACCTCAACGCTGTCCGCAAGTGAGCACACCAGTCTATATGCGCGCATCGTACTAATAGAATTCACAGACTAGCACAATCATACACCACCCACCCTCTCCATCTCACAGCGCTCCATGCCTCCTATCTCGACCGCGCAACCTCCGACCTCCCCACACTCTCCGACTCGCTCATCTCTCTCCAACCTCTCAATCCCAGCTTGCTTGAGAGGGACGTCGCGGACCACAAAGACTACTTTACGAAGATCAAGTTCAAGTACTTGGAGCAGGAGAGCAAGGAGAGATT